CCCGCCCCGCCCTAGCCCCGCCCTAGCCCCGCCCCGCTGGCGTAGCGCAGGGCGCGCCTGCGCAGTGAGTGAGGCCCTGACTGCCGCGGGTTAAGGCCGAGCCGCAGAAAATGAGCAAGTGCTCAGAGTGTGAGGGGCAAGTTATTTGAAAAAAGGAAGTCTGTTTGAAGGGCCTCCCACTGGCCACATAGGAGACAATTTGAGTATCCAAAAGATAATGACTTTTAAAAAAAAGTTAATGACAGTTCAGGATCATAGCTCAATGAGTTAAAAAAAAAAATCTGTTAGTCCACACTGACAAAAAACTACATTAAATAGGAGAGGGGAATTCTCCACAGAAAAACGTTAACTAATAAGTGTTGCAGGAATGATGAAATTAGAAAATCACGCTTTTGCACCAAGGAGTCAGGGATTCAGGCTACAGTCATTAGACGCTAGATGACCCGGCAAACGGTTGTTTGTTTGGAGCAGCATATCTAGTCTCGAAGTGTCACTCGGCGATTACTTACTAGTCAGGAAAGGAGAGATGGAGATTTCTGGAAGAAAGCACCTGATCCACACGATCAAACTCACTGTCAGCAATGGGACATCGTCTCAGGCCTCATATGATGCGTGAAGACAGGACATCACCTATGTAGCATATTATCCCGCCTCAAAACGCACGACCTAAGTGACAGAGTGAGGGAAACAGCCACACCCAAATTGAAAGATACGCTGCAAAAAGCTCTCTAAAACTGTCACGCCATGGAAGCCCGACAAGCTACAATGAAGCGAGACACCAAGGCTGTGTCGGCGCCGTCCCTTTCGAGGCTAAGGAGTCATGACAACCAAATGCCCAGTGTGGTTTCCCGACTGGATTCTGGATTTTTCAAAAGAGCAAGAAAGGACATTCCTGGAATAATTGGGGACACTGAATCTAGACAATATATTAGGTAATAGCATTGAATTGGTGTGACATTTCCAGAGTGAGGTCATTTTATTTGAGTAACACAGGAGACCGTTCTTGTTTTTAGGAAATGGATACTGAATTATTTAGGAGGGAGATATCACCTGTAGCTACTTAATGGTTCAGGGCAAAAATGGAGGGTGGGACACACACACACACACACACACACACACAAATTAATGGTTCAGGGCAAAAATGGAGGGTGGGATACACACACACAGATTGAGGGAGAGAAAAGTTGACAGTGTCGCATCTAGATATGTGGAGGTCACTTTACTATATATTCGACTGATTTGTATGTTTGATATTTTTCAAAAAACTGCAGGAAAAATAAATGTCTCTGTGAAGAACACAGACCTGTGCCAACCAGATACCTCTGCCAGTCAGCCTGATGCCCCAGGTGTAGGCTGCGGGGTCGCTGCCCGGCCCAAGGTCATGCCCTTGCAAGAGCCGCCCCTGTCCAATGACTGATGGAGGCAGGAGCAGATCGTTTGGACCTTCGTGCCCAGTGGGACGACCTCGAGGGGCTCTCTCGTCACCGAGAGCTCCTCGTGCGCGTGACGAGTGTCCGCCCCCGCAGGGCTGGCGCGGGGCGGTCCCTCGACCGTCAATCTCGCGCCCCGCCGCCGCCGAGTGGTACGCGCGGTGGCCCGGAGTCAGCTCAGAAGGTGGGGCGAGGCGCTGCGGCCAATCGCGGGGCGCAGGGACCCCAACCCGTGCAGAGCCCGCCTCCGATTGGTCTTCCACCCCGATACGTTAGCAGGGGGCGCGGCTACGACTGGCCCCACTACCTGCTGCTGCTGCTGCGAGCAGAGCGGAGCGCGCAGGTGAGGTTCGTGCTGGCGGGGTGGGGGGCTCCTGCGGCGGTCAGGCCTGGGATCGCACGAGCCGGGGACAGTGCGCAGGCGAGGCGGGGATGCGCGGTCAGGTGGGCGAGGCGTGCGTGCGCGCCTGTGATAGCAGGGGGCGCGGCTACGACTGGCCCCACTACCTGCTGCTGCTGCTGCGAGCAGAGCGGAGCGCGCAGGTGAGGTTCGTGCTGGCGGGGTGGGGGGCTCCTGCGGCGGTCAGGCCTGGGATCGCACGAGCCGGGGACAGTGCGCAGGCGAGGCGGGGATGCGCGGTCAGGTGGGCGAGGCGTGCGTGCGCGCCTGTGAGATCCGGGCCGGGGCCGGGGTTCCTCGGGCGCCCCACGCGAGCGGACGCGGTTTTCTGTTTGAGGACCTAACGGAGCGGCTGCGGGCTCGCCGAGCACCTGGATGCAGGTGGAGAGCCGCCGAACTGCTCTGCTAGGAAGGGGTTCCTCAGGGCGGGGTCCCCGCCGGGAGTTGTGCGGGCCGAGCCCACAAAAAGCTCCCCTCCGTTTTCAGCCCTCCGTCCTTCCCTGCTCTTAAAATAATGATGCGTTGCCTCTTTCCTGGGCATTGTATAATTTTATTAAGTGGGGTTTTAAGGTACAGGAGAGAGGCAATGAAATGTTTTTCTTAAAGGCGATATGCAAGACCTCCCGTCATTTGCTGGGGTTTCCTGTGTGTCCCGCATTGTGCTTAGCGCTTTGAGGCTAATTCTCAGAATAACCCACCCGTTAGGCATCACCCTCATTTTACAGGTGAGGACACTGGGGTTCCCGAGAGGTGACGTGACCGGTGGAGTCACATGTTAGAGGGTGGCAGAGCCAAGCCTCAAACCCACAACTCTGGTGACATTGCTTCAGTGTGGGGGAGCAGCGCCTGTGTTTAGGGGGGCTGGGAGTCGGGGGCAGAACCCCATCCGGACATTCCCACCCTCCGAACCCCCACGCTGCTTGACCAGAGAGCGTTGACCAGAGAGCAGGAATTCCACCCTGCCTGCCTGGTTTCTTTTGCCTGAAAGTTTGTGCCTCTCAACTGACTTTCTGCCCAGAGTTGAGGAAGGAGCTGGGTGGTTTGCCCTCAGATGCACCTGGCACCCAGCGCCCTGGTCTTAGTGCGGGGTGCCCCCCCCATGCCCACCCGAGCTCTTCCTGCAGCTACTTAGATGAGGAAGCAGGAGCCAAGGCCCACGGCGCGCCAGGCCGGGTGCCCAGATTTAAGACACGACGCGTGGGGGCTGCATGGTGGAGCGGGAGGGGCCCTTTTGTCCACTCTTGGTGAAGCAGAAAACGCCCTCTTTCTGAGCACGACTTGGCGAATCCTCTTTTAATAGAATTTTGAGGAGTCCTGCTCATCCTGTCAAATATATAGATCTCTGTGGCGAGGGAGTTGAGAAGCTGGGGGGCCGCTGGAGAGGCCAGGTATTCAAAGGTCGCGCGGAGGTTGGGACGGGAGGCCTAGGGGGCTGGAGTCCTTCCAACCGCAGGACGCTTTTCCACCGAAAAACGAGAACGGTTTGCAGGTGAACCTCGGAACCATCCAAGCACCATTCGATCCTGGACTACGGCTAACACAGTCCTCAGGTAGATTGCAGCTAAAAAGAATGGCAGGCTCGTATAGTAGACCCGATGCATGCTAAGACAGGACGAGGCAAAGACGCCAAGCTGCGAAAGAATTTCCGTGCGAGCCGGTTTTTAGAACGAAGGAGGGGTGTGTGTTGCGTGAAGCTCGTGAAACCATCTGGAAGAAGACACGCCAAAGTCAGTGGCTCCTGGGCACGGATTGGAGGGGACAGGTGAGGGCCTTGAACGCCGGGCTTCTAAACTTGTGTTTTAGCAAGCACAGCTCTTGCAGCTTTCCAAAAGCAGAGCCCTGTGGCTGCTGTCACAGCTGCAGTTCACCCCTCAGAAACTGCCCGGCGGGAGCCCAAGCCAGGCCGGAGCTCTCCAGCACCAGGGGCTCAAAGGCACAGCACAGCTTGGGGACAGCCCCTGCGTCTGGCAAGCCAGGCGAGGCTTGTGAGTTGCATGTGGCAGCTGAGGGAGTGACCACACAGCCCGCAGGGGGCCGGAGGGGGTGGGGGGTGTAGAAAAGCGGCAGGTATCACCTGCAAGAATCCCCCAAACAGTCACCCTCACCGTGGGGACGGATGACCGTCCTGGCCCCAGTTACAGCCACAAATATTCCCAGAATTGTGGGTCTCATGACTCCAAGAGCTGTTAAAAAAAACTTGGTTGTTAAATTATCTTATTCTACAAGTACATTTCTATGAGAATAATTAGGAAAGAGAAAAAAAAAAAGCCACGCCTATTCCCAGTTTAACGTCTTGGTGCTTAGCTTTTTCAAATAGTCATTTTAAGGACAGATTTGCAACTTGTCCTTATGCCGTGACACGTCCGGGCACCTTTTCCTGTGTTGGGCTCATTTTTTTAAACACCCGTTGAGTCTTCCCCTGATAGGTGTGTCGTTATTTATCTGATGTTCTCACTGAGTCATCTCGCCGTTTTTAGCAGTTTGCGAGTTGTATGTCGCCAACTACAGTGTGAGTTCTTGCATCTGCTTACTCAGGTCCAGGACAGAGCCCTACGGGGAGCTGCTGGTCTGCCTGGCCTCAGACCAGAACAGCTGCCCTCCCAGGTCGCTGATTCTGGATTTTATCGTTTATGCTCATCTGAAGTAAAAATCCAGAGGCCGGTATTTTTCAGTCTCTGCGCCTCCTTTGACGAGCACGTTTCCGAGACAGACCCGCTGCTGATGGATGGCGTTCCAGCCCAGAGTGATTCCCTGGGTGTATTCCCTGGAGTAGCACCTGGCATAGCACTCAAACGTTAGTGCTTGTTTGGGTGTTTTCATCCCGACTGTTCTGGAATTTACTGTGCCTCCCAGGTGTGTCATGGAGGATGGGGTTCCCGTGGGACCCGCTCCGTCGCTGTAGGTCTGTGTTAGGGAACCACTCGCTCCACCTTCCTGCCTCGGCTTCTTCGTCCGGAAGGTGGACTTGACAGAGCCCGCTCCCCAGGGCCCCCCGCGTGAGAATTGCGTGAGCCCGTGGGCGGCTGGAACTCGGCAGGGGCCCAGTGACTGGTTGTTATCTGGGACAGGCCAGATCATCCGACGATGACCCCAACAGTGTCTCGCGTTATCATATGTTGCCACTCCTCCTTGAAAGGCTCTGACGCACTGTACCTGACAGAATGTGCCGGAAGTGATGGCATGTGCCTTCCCAGGCCAGGTCGGAAAAGGCAGAGCGGGGACTCCAGCACACCCTGAAGCCGTAGCTGCCTAGCCAGCGTCTCCCCAGATTCCTGACCCCCGAAACAACGAGGGATGATAAAAAGACTTGTTTTAAGCCACTAAGTCGAGGGGGGATTGGTTACACAGTGGGTGAGCAGAATATTCTAGGTTTGGGCACGCGGGTGTACCCCCTTAGACTTCGGGGGTCGGTTGGTTTTGTAACGTCTGCCAAGTGGGGCCCCCCGCTGCTGCCCTGCGTGAGCCCCGCTGAGCCCGCTTGCGGCCCGCATGGCGACAGCTGTGGCTGACTCTTAGCTGAACGCTGATGAGGTCGGGCCTGGCCCTGAGCGCTTGGCACCATGACCATCGTGTCCTTGACAAAGTGGACGACGCTTTGCAGATGAGACCAAGGCCGAGCAAGACAAACAGAGGCTCAAGGTCACACCGGTCGAACTCCTAGTGGGGGCCATGCTGGCAACAGGAACGGGTGACGTGAGAAGCTGCAGCCTTGATGGTGGCCTTGGGGCCTCTCGAGTATTCATCGAGCTAGTGCCCAGCCCTCCCTGCCGTGGTCCTGGGTCTCTAGTGCACCCCTAAATTACTAAGCCCTCGAGGTGCCAAAAAATCTGCCATGGGGCTTAAATCATCACTTTTGTGGGTCCCAGCCTGTTGGTAGCGGTCGGGGTGCGGGGAGCACTTGCTCTGGCCCTCCCTCATGGGGGCGGCTCAGCACGAACCGTAAAGGGACCCTGAGGACAGGATGTGTTACCGACCGGTCCGGGAGGGTACACAGCCGGCCCGGGCCACACAGCGAGGCCGCGGGGCTCTGCCTTTATCTGGGTCAGAGATGGATGTCTGGGGTTCCACGGGTTCTTTATCGGCTAATTTAGAGCCTGAGACTGGTAATTAGGGCTCTGGGAGGGAGGAGCAGCGTCGCTCAGGTGGTCAGTCCTCCAGGGTACCCTGGTTTGTATCAGGCAGTTTTGCTGTGGCTGTGTCTGGACCGAGCTGGCAGCGTGTTCCTTTAAGACGGACGTCAGGCTCGGCGTGGTTGCTGCCCCAGAGGAGAAGGGTCAGCGGTGAGGCCCAGCTGGGAGGACGCGCAGACGCAGACACGCGGGCCAGACGGCGGGCTTCTGCCCGACACGGCCATCTTTGAACCAGGTGCCTCGGCGAGGAAAAGCTTACCGTCCGGCGTCGACACCGCCGTCGAGAATTCATCCCCAGCCGCTGCCGCTAGATCCCCCCCAAGCTGTCAGCAGTGAAGTCCCTTTAGCTCCTGCCTGCGGAAGGCACACCCCACCCAGGCTGCTGACCCGGGCGCCAGGCGGCCCCGTCCAAGTCACTGGCTCGTCTTTTTGCCCACGTGTGGGACACTAAACCTTCATCCAGCTGTAATGACACCGCGGACCCTCCGGTGTGGGGGCGTCTGTGCCCCGAGGCACTCGTGGAGGTCTCGGGTCAGCGAGTGTCCCTGGAGCCAGGCTTCCGGTCCAGGGGACTGTTGCCGCCGCTCTGTCCTCAGCACGTCGTGCCTCCTGGGATGTGCCAGTGGGGACGTGCACACACGGGGGGCTCGATCTGGGCACAAACAAGCTTCTAGAGTGTTTCAAGCGCAGCATGGCTGCCCCGTATACGTCTACGAAGAAAGTGCCTGCTGGTCCCTTGGTGCTCCTCACGCCGGCTCATGTCCACGACCGCCTCCGGCCAGTCCCACCCCTGCTACCAAGTCCTTACTGTGTGCCCGACACCGAGGGCGCCGGGCAGACGGGCAGTCCGATCGGGCTGCCTGCGGGCGACACCCCCTCGGGCCTGCGTCCAAAGCCCTGAGCCCTGAGCTCTGTACCCCCGCTTGGGTCCAGCAGTGGGCCTTGAGTAGATGTCATTTGGGCTCTTGTCTGCCTTCCATCCTGAAGTGTCAGCTCCCTGAGCGTCATCTGCATCTTTGTGTCCCCTGCAGGGCTTGGCTCAGCGGGTTGAGAAGGACCACGCACGCGTCTTGGATCACAAGAGTCTAGAGGTTTTACGGAGCCCGGTTCCAGGACAGCCTCCGGTCTGCTGCGAGACCCCTCAACGCCAGGTTGCAGGTGAGTATCACGGTCCGCAGCCGCGGGCAGTGACCTTTCAGCTTTGAAAATTGAAGTCGGCTAGACAGCTGCTACCCAGTGTCAGCTCCTGCCTGAGTCTCAGGGGAGAAAATCCCCCAGCACACCTCCCTGTCCCCTGACTCCGGCCATCGCTGCCCAGTGTCCAGTGCTTAGGACAAAGAGGTGACTTCTGGGGAGAGGGGAGAATGAGCTCCGTAATGAGCTCCAAACTCGTATTTGGTCTCGTTTGACCCCTGGAAGGGACACGTCCTTCGTGCGGTGTGCTCCATCCGGCTTTCCTGCTCGGCTCTGAGGCTGTCCGTTTCCAGCACGAAAGCCGGTCCCTGGGTGGTGTCACTGCTCGGTGTTGTCTCTGTGAGGCTGGTCTGTGACTTGGGGCAGAAAGAGTGGCCGTCCCCTCTGCTTAACCTTCCCGTGAGGCATGCATGAGTGCCATGCTGGAGACAGGCACGGGTCGGCATGGGAACGCGGGGCCTGGCGTGGGGGCCGGGTCGGCACGCTCTGGTTGGGGACGCCAACTGGGGCCGTACGGAACGATAGGGTCTGCCGTGTGGGTGTCACCGCCCGGCGCGAGCGTCTGGTGGGCGGCCACCAGTGTTCGGGGGCCGTGGAGAGCAAGCTGACATGTTCGGGTGGCTCGGATCCTGACATCATCGTCTCCGGGGGGCAGTTGGTTGTCTGTGGTCCACGTCGGTTCTACAAGTATAAGCTGAGTCCTGCCACACGCTATGTTTTGGGGGCTGAAGAGACAGACGGTCCCTTCCCGTGAAAACGTCGCCATCCTGCGTCCATCGCAGACCCTCCATAAACCTTCGTAACCCGAACTGATACGGCCATGGTTCCCACACCATGCGTGAAAGTGTCTCCCGTCGTTGAAGCGTTTTAAGCGAACGTACCTTTGTGTTAAAGTCACTCACGTCCGCGTTTAAGACAACAGTAACAAAAGGCTTGTATGTGCATATGTATAAGAGAATAACTGTCCCCTGCCTCGTCCCATGGTCTCGCCTCCCAGAAGCAAGTGCTTTTCATTCCTTCAACCGCTTTTCTTGTGTTGCCGGCTGATTTCTAAGCAATTTGCTTTTACCACGCCGGACTTGGCCGTTTCCTTCTCCGCCAGTAGGGGGCGCAGCGGGCCGTGCGGTTGCCGCGTGCGCCGCTAAGCCGGGCAGCGCGCGCGGTCACGGTTTTCCTCCCCCTCCCGTGACTTCATTCCTCCCGGAGTGAATGGCGCCTTCCTTGTCCCATTTGCTAAGGCTTCTGTGCATCACGGCTCTTTTTGTTTTTTGTTTTTTGTGTTTTTTCTGAACATTATAACACGGCCGTCGCTCCTGTCGATCATCTTTCTACACGGTGGAATTTATCATTTCCGCGAGGGGTTCTCGTACCAGTGTGGACTGGGGACCCTCTGTCCACCGCACGGGCACCGTCCGGGTCTCCCCCGTGTCCTGACACCCACCGTGACCGGCTCTTACGTCCCGCGTCTTCTCTGAATGACGCTTAACCTGGGAATGGAATTCTAAGTTGAAAAAAGTTTTCCTTAGAGATTGTCAAGTTTTCCAGCCTCATGTTCGAGAATCCAGCCTGACGCTGGCATGAGTCTCAGTGCTCGATGTTCTCCGAAAGCTTTTAACATCGTCGTCTTTTCCCGTTGGCATTCTGAGACTCCACACGCGTGAACTTGCCCTGGACGGGGGGCGTCACTGCGTCCCCCATGTTCTAGCCGTTTAGGGCAGTGCTGGGTAGGTGGGTGTGCGAGATTCCTCCTCCTGGTTTAGCTCTGGCAGAGTGACTATTCGTCGACCGCCCACAGGTACCAGCCACTTCCAGGCCCTGGTAGCAGAGTGAGGACTCGGTCACACGATCTCTGTCCTCGGAGACTTACGTTCTCATGGGAGAGGCAGACAGGAAACGTGCAGACCAGTAAATAAAAGAACCGCACGTGGCGAGCAGAGTTTTTAGGGAAGTAAGTGGCAGGAGAGTGACTGGGCACGGGGCCTGGGGAGCAGGCAGTGTAGACGGAGCTGGCGCATGGCTACGGGCAGAGGGAGCGTGTCAGCGATGCGTTTGCGTTAGGATGTTAGCCAGTGGGAAGACGAGGTGTCATGGCCTCCCGGGAATCTGACTAGTCGGCAGAGGAGGGGACGGCTCCATGAGGCCTGGACGGGGCGGGGGGGACTGCAGAGCACGGTCCAGGCGGGGAAGGCGCAGGTGTGGCAAACGGGACCGCCGCGTCCAGGGGGCGGGGGGCGGGGCGTTCGAGCAGAGAGCAGGAGGCAGAGCGGCAGGCACGGGTCGGGAGACGCCCCGAGCCGGGTGGCTCTGCTCACCTCACCCCCATCGGAGGGCGACTCCGGCAGGAGCAGAAGCCGGAAGGCGGGGTGAGGGCGTGCCGGTCACGGGAGACGGGGTCTGGGTGGCGGTCCTGTCCCTGCCTGGACTCTGCTGTCCAGGACCAGGTGACGGACGGAGAGCGACGGAGGCCAGCCCGGCAGGACCCAGGGGCCCCGGTGGCTGTGGCAGGGGGGTGTGGCGTCTGCTCTTGGGGGGACAGCCCGAGCCCGTCCGTCTTCTCTCCTCCCCTAGGGCCCGATGGCGGCGAAAGCCCAGCCCAGCGCTCCCAAAGCCAGGCGTCCAGGCGGGGCTGCGGCACAGGGACAGTGGGGTCGTGCCTGGTAAGGACCTCGTCGCCCTCCGGCCCGGGGGCAAGGGGAGGGGAGCCAGCCCGTGGGGTTTCATGGACCTATTAAATTTTTCTATTGTCAAGGCTCACGGCAGGTGAGCAGCTTCCCATTTTATAGTCGGCTGGCGCCCTCGCTGTGTGCGCCTTGCCGTCCTGGCTGTCCCGGGCCAGGGAGCCATGGCGACTGGGGTGTGGATGCATGTATGTCGCCCACGGCCCGGAATGGGGGGAGCCGCTGGCCCTGTGGGTCACGGAAGGCCTTCCTGCATGCGCACTCTGGCCCTGGGCTTTCCGTGGGTGCCCAGGGGTCGGTCACCCCGACGGACCGCGGTAGAGCGTGTGTGTTAAGTGGCTTCCGGCAGCGGGGCGGCCTGTGCGCTGAGCCGGCGGCCTCCTCCTCTGAGGCGCGGGCTGGGTCGAGCTCGGGCACCCACGCCCGCATGTGGGCACTGGGTCGGCGAGGCCAGCGCCCGGCGCCCGGCCTGAGTGTCCGCGCCTCCCACAGGGAGGTGGATTGGTTTTCCCTGGCCAGCGTCATCTTCCTGCTGCTGTTCGCGCCCTTCATCGTGTACTTCTTTATCATGGCGTGTGACCAGTACAGCTGCTCGCTGACCGCACCCCTGCTGGACCTGGCCACCGGGCGTGCTCGCCTCTCGGACATCTGGGCCAAGACGCCGTCTCTGACGAAGGAAGCGGCCCAGCTCTATGCCTCGTGGGTCACGTTCCAGGTCGGCCCTTCCCAGCCCTGTGCCAGGGCGCTGTGGGGGTGGGGAGTCCCTCGCTGCCGGGGTCCTGGCCGCCCGTCTGGGGGATGGAGTCCTCGCTCAGGGTGGCGTTCCTGTCAGGCGCCCAGTGGGATGCTACCTGCAGCCAGGTGTCCTTGGCCTCCTCGTCAGACAGGGCAGGCAGCAGCTAGCGGCATCGGGGTGCCCGCCGTGCCTGCAGTCCGGGAGGCCCGGCCCCACGGGGACCGACTGAGCACTGAGGGGCAGGAGGGCAAGGCCGGCCCAGGGAGCCCCGACCACGGCAGAGATCTTTCCCTGTGACAGCCCACGGGGAGGGGCACCGGCCACCCATCCCTGAGGGACACTCGGTGACAAGAGGCACTGAGCCTGTGTTCCTGCCAGGTTGTCCCGGGAAGAGCAGCCTCAGCTCCCGTGGGACCCCCCGGCCTCGCAGACTGGCAGGCGTTCGCCAGGACAGGGGTTGGCAGTGAACCTGCCGTTTGGCAGAAGGTGGCCCGAGCTTTTGTGCCCTGGCGGACGCTCCCACCCCGGGGCCCCAGCTGCCTGCCTTCCTGGTCCCTCTCACGGCAGGCGTCTCGGTCCCTTTGGGTAGAAGCGACTGGGGACAGCCCGTCGCAGCAGCCTAGGAGTGGAAATATCCCAAGTGCCCGTCGACAGGTGGCCGGGCAAACGAGTGGGGGGTGTCCACGCAGTGGAGTGTCCTTTGGCCAGAAACGGCGTTCTGACGCTTGCTCCCACTGGGGGGGGCCTTGGTGACACTCCACTGAGCGGAAGGGACCGGCTGCGGTGGACAGGTCCAGCAGGGCTCCACTCACGGGCAACGTCCAGAGCGGGCAGCTTGACGGGATGGAGCAGATTCGCGGTTGTCGGGCTGGCAGGAGGGGACTGGGGTGGGGGCGGCTGCTGACCCCGCCCCCGTTCCCTCTTGGGGCGATGAGAACGTTCTGGAAGTAGGTAGTAGTGACCGTTGTACGACCTTGGGATGTGCCGGACACCACTGAATAGAGCTCCCTAAAAGGGCGTGTTTTAGGGTTTGCGACTTATTCCTCCGTTTGTTTTTTTTAAATGGCCCCAGGAAAGTGAGGGGGACGAACTTGCGGGTTCTCGGAAGCGGGGAGAGTGAGCCCCATAGGGAGAGCGCCCCGTCGCTCAGAGCAGGAACCCCCGCCCCTGTTCGGCCCCCGCGAAGCCCGCAGTCAGCCCCTTCGGGAAGAGGAGCCGCCGTGAGCGGGAACCCCCGTGTCCTGGCTCCATTGGTGAAAGCAGGGCCGTGTGACACGCCGGGCCCCGCGCCACCGGCGGCCGAGCTCCAACCTTATGTGTTCCAGGTGCTTTTGTACGTGTTGCTCCCTGACTTCTGCCACCGGTTCCTGCCCGGCTACGTGGGAGGCATTCAGGAGGGCGCCGTGACCCCCGCAGGTAACCTCCCCGAGCTCGGCCCCCGGCCAGCCATGCCCCGTCCCCCCGGCTCATGGGGCCTGCCCTCCGCTGTCCCAAAGTCTGCTCACCAGCGGGCGGCCCGGCTCTGCCCCAGACATGGGTTTGAGCCTCACGCTCCTCGGTAGAGAGGGGCCCGAGTGGCCTCGCCCCGTGGCCGGTTGCCAGCGGTGGGCTCCTGGAGCCTCTCCCCGCAGAGGACATCGCGGCCTGCCCCTGGCGCCTGGGAGGCGGCTTTTGTTGGGGGGCTGCCTGGTCCCTTCGTTCCCTTCCGTCTCGGGAACCCAGCAGCCCGGCAGATGGCACCCCGCCCTGTCCCAGCCTGCGGAGAGCATCTGGGCGGTGGGGGGTGCAGGGCTCCCGACAAGCACCTCAGGGCGTCCTCACTCCTTCTCCCCAATGTCTAGCAAACCGCAGGCCAGTTAGTTACTCAGCCCCCGGTGTGGCCGAGCCAGACGCGGGTTGCCTGTAGAGCCAGGCTCTGAACACCGAGTTTTACGCGGGAGGAATTAGGCCATTTATTTGCAGGGTGCCAAGGGAGGAGAATAGGAAGCCGGCATTTAAAACCCGAATGCCTGATGGTTTTCAGTCACGGGCTTTTAAAGGCGAAGACCGAGGGCAAAGCCGTTTGGTGGGCTCTTGTGCAAGCACCGTGGCTTTCCTAGGCCGATTGATTTGGTTCCTGGTGTCATCTCTGAAGCCTTTAGGACTGGTCGGCTGGTTGAGGAGCCCGGAGTCTGCAGAACACGTCCTGATTGTGTGTCAGCGATCTTACCTTTAAAGCAAGACGCAGACACTAAACGTCTCGTGAGCCCCGTCCTTGTCTAAGCTGTCGTTGCTTCATGCTTGACGAGCACGTTGTCTTCGATCTCCAGCAAAGCGCGCTTTTAGATATTTTTTTCCTGGAACTCGCTTTGCGGGCAGGTCCGCAGGACGTGACCGACACACGTTGTCTTTGACGAGAAGCTAGCGAGGAGCAAAGCGATCGACACATTTGGTGAAAGGCTTTCCCTGCATCTCGAGGCCCCGGGGTCTAACGCCCGCCTGTGTTCACTGTTACCTGCTGGTTAAGGAGAACCAGAGCCTCGGGAAACGTCTGCACCCCGTCCCTCCTCCCAGACCCAGCAGGCAGGGCGGTCATCCCTGGACGAGCAGTGGGAGGCGCCCCCCTGGCCATTTGACCTGGGGTCTTGAATCGCAGCAGAAGCTGACCAGCTCTCTGGGTTGGAGCTGGGGTGCCCTAGACAAGGGCCTGAGCAACTGAGACCCAGAAAGCAAGCAGGCGGGGCCTGAGCCAGCTGCTGTCACACTCGGGGACACACTTCGATGTGTAAATCTTCCCTCCACAGGGGTCGTCAACTTGTACGAAGTCAACGGCCTGCAAGCGTGGCTCATCACGCATCTGCTCTGGTTTGCCAACTCCCACCTCCTGTCCTGGTTCTCTCCGACCATCATCTTCGACAACTGGATCCCGCTGCTGTGGTGCGCCAACATCCTCGGCTATGCCGTGTCCACCTTTGTGATGGTCAAGGGCTACTTCTTCCCCACCAACGCCCAAGACTGGTACGCCCTGCGGCGGCTAGTCGGACGGGCGGTGCGCGTTCCCAGCCCGGGCTTCTTCCGTGACCTGGGGGCAGGGCCTTCGCGCCCTGAGGGCGAGGGTCCGTGACATGACCCAGAGGAGCTCAGTGGAACTTTTTTGACTCGGGGGGCACCCTTTCTGAATGTCTGGGTGGCATCCGCCCTAGGAGGAATGCAGTCGAAGACGGCCTGGTCTGCCTTCGGTGGCCGAGTCATCCGGGTAGGGAGCAGGGGAGTGGGAAAGGCAACTTCCGGCCCCGGGGGCAGAGGGAGCCCATCGCCTCTCTCTCTGGGACATCAGTGTGGCCTGGCACTGGCACAGTCAGGAAGGCGTCTTACTGTTTGAGTAGCTTTAATGTAGCAGCTTCTCTGGGAAAGTTCTATTGGTTGATGCTCATTTGATTGAAGACTTGGGTTGGATAGTGGTTATCCATCATCCATCCATCCATCATCTGTCCGTCCATCCACCCACCCATCTGCCCATTCACACATATGCCCATCCACACATCCACCCACCCGTCCATCTGTCCATCCATCTGTCCGTCCATCTATCCATCATCTATTCACCCACCCATTCACCCAGCTGTCAACCCATCTATCCATCCATCCGTCCATCATTCCTCCCTCCCTCCCTCCATCCTTTCCTCCATCCGTCCATCATTAGCAGACGTTTTTGGGGATCTTCCCGTAGACAGGTGTAAGCAGTGGAGTTTTAGGTGTGAGCAAGATTCTCGTTCTCACAGTTCTTACATTTTAGTCTGGGGCCCAAAACAACAAAGTGTTTCCCTTTACCTCTCGGCTCTGGGGGAGCATCTGGACGATGGTGCTTCGCAGCTTGCGTGATGATCAGATGACAAGGCTGGTCTTCCACAGCCCACGGAAATCCTTTTGCCGCTTTATAATCTTACCGCCTTTGGTGGACTTTGTGTGTTTTGCTTCTTTCTGCTTATCTTGAAGGAAAGGGACGTGATAATGTTTTTCTGATTAACAGAAATCTCTGTGTGTACACACAGGGTATCCCTAACGAGGGACCTCCACAGGGGTGTCTTGGCTGATTCTCTGGTCACCCCTGGCGAGGGCTGTGGGGTCGGGTCACCAGGGCAATGAGCCATTCAGAAACTGATCTAGCGGGGGAATATGTGGGCCCTGGAGCTGGACACCTGGCTCTGAGCGTGGTGCTTTTCACGACTCCTTATCTTGGCATAATTTATGATGTCGCTTGCACGCGGGAGGCCTCAGTGCCCTGTGCGTTCATTTCAAACGTGCTTGCTGCAGAGTAAAGCCTGAGTCCTGTGGAGCCTTTGGCCTCAGGTGTGCTGTGCCTCAGGGAGACCTGGAGGCGGGGAGAGGACCCTGGGCCCGGCCCGAGGAAGCGGAAGCCGTAAGCACAGGTGCATGCCCGTGGCTTCCCGGGCCGGAGCGAGCCACTCTGGTGCTGCTTCCCCGGATGTCTGAGCTGAGCCGGAGCGGAGTGCATGGGGCAGTGGCCGAGGCTGCGCCCCCTGGTGGCTGGTCCTTGCAGCTCATGCCAGCCGCGGCCCAGGTCGCCAGGCGCCTCTGTGCAGGCACGTGGAACAGGCCCCGGGCCCTGCGAGTGGCTCCTTGACTGACGGTGTCTTTTCTTTACGTTTTTAAGCAAATTCACAGGTAATTTCTTCTACAACTACATGATGGGCGTCGAGTTCAACCCCCGGATCGGGAAGTGGTTCGACTTCAAGCTCTTCTTCAACGGACGCCCGGGCATCGTCGCCTGGACCCTCATCAACCTGTCCTTCGCCGCCAAGCAGCGGGAGCTCTACGGCCACGTGACCAACTCCATGGTCCTGGTCAACGTCCTGCAGGTAGCCTGTCTGGGGCCGAAGCGGGCGGACACGTGGGTGCTCGCCGGGCGCTGGGGAGTCCCGAAAGCTGGAGATTTTCCAAAGACCCTGATCCGCAGCTCTGGGGAGGGCCCGGCCCACTCCCCGCGTGGCCCGGGGTGTGGACTGGCCCCGGGGGACTTCCCCAGAGGGCGCCTGTTAGCGGCTCGAGCGTGGCAGTGGTCCCCGTGTCGTGGTTCTGGCGTCTCTGGGAGGGCCATGGTCACGGTCGTGGCCTCCGGGGTGTGTTCCCGCACAGTCCTTGTCTCGGGCCACCCCTTCAAGGCGGGGCACGATGGTGTGACTGGCCTCCCCCGTCCCACCTGCGGAGGCCGACGTTGGTCTCCTCAACGCCCGCGGGGCACAGAGGTCGCCCGGCCGTGCCGGCCACGTTGGGTGTGTCGTGCTGCAGGGACAGCCAGCAGGGCACGTGCTGGGACACTCAGCCCGGCGAAGGGCGTCGCTGCTGGCGCGCACGGTGGCGTGTGGTGTCCCCCCTCCGTGGCCCGTCCCAGGCTCCTCCACCCTGACCCATCGTGCTCCACTCTGAGCCCCTCAGCCTGGGTGTCACCTCCCGGACGTTGTGGGGTGCCCCCTTTCTCTCATCATTTGTGGGCCCTCCTCATCCTCTTAGACCTCAGACTCTCTGAGGACAAGGACCCCCAGCCCGCCCCCGGACCCCACGTTCCAGGCTGGGCAGGAAGTGCTCCCACAGCCTGGCGGTGCACGTCACCAAAGCGGCTCCGTGACAGCAGTTCACTCCGTCACCCAGGCGGGTGGTTTGCGGAGGTGCCCGCCCCCTCCGTGCCCCCGGTTGGCACTCGGCCCCTCGTGTTCTGCAGGCCATCTACGTGCTGGACTTCTTCTGGAACGAGGCCTGGTACCTGAAAACCATCGACATCTGCCACGACCACTTCGGGTGGTACCTGGGCTGGGGAGACTGTGTCTGGCTGCCCTACCTTTACACGCTGCAGGTGAGGATGGGGTGGGGAGCCCCTGGCCCCAGGCGCCCGCTGCTCGTTCTCCAGGCCAGGCCGGGGCTGCCCCCCAGGCAGAGGGCTGAGCACGTACTGAGCTTTGCTCCTGCACAAGGGCGTGTCCTTGGCAGACGTGGGAGCCGGCGAAGGCTTAGTGTGTGAGTCGGCTCGGGCGGCCACAGCAAAGTCCCACAGGTGGGGGCTTAAGCCACAGACACTGTCCCCAGTCCTGAGGGCTGGAAGTTTGGGACCCAGGTGTGGGCAGGGCCGGTTCCTCCCGAGGCCTCTCTCCTGGACGTGTGGACGGCGTCTCCTTCCTGTGTCCCCACATGGCCGTTCCTCTGCGTGTCTGTGTCCTAAGATCCTACGAGGACACCAGTCACGTTGGATTAGGCCCTAGTGACCTCGCTTTACCTTAATCAGCTGTTTAAAGGCCCCTCCTCCAAATGTCACATTCTGAGGTCCTGTGTGTTAGGGTTTAACAGAAATTTGGGGGACGCAGTTCAGCCATCACCCTTACAGAAGATGGTATGCACTGCACTTAGGGTAAAAAGGAGTGATTTGGGGGACTGGGTGGATGGAGGGGGTGTATATTCTTATTTATTCAAATCCTAATGCCTAAAAGACAGGAGGGCATCTTGCCAACCTTTCGTGCTCCTTAAATACTTCGTGAGGCTCTGCGCGGGTCCAGGCCCGTGTGGGGTGTGGTGCAGGGTGAGGGGTGAACCAGGTGTGTGGGCATTGCCCTCCGGGCACTCACGGTGCTGGGAGAGGCCATGAGACAGGCAGCCGGGGCCGGGGTGCTGACCCTGATAGACGGAGCCCCCATCTACTTTGGGGGTCAGCAGACGTCCCCAGGGGCAGCCCTGGCCGGGCTGAGGGTGGGGTGCTGGGGGGGCGGGCGCGGTGGAGTCTCATGGCAAGAGCTCATAGCAGGGGGCGGGGGGTGTGCGGGGAGCCGAGGAGGACGCGGAAGGCACGAAGCAGACGGTCGTGGCACGTGGGGAGGCAGGAGGCATTGTCACACTGGAGGCCGGAGAACGGAGAAGAGGTCCACACAGCTGAGCAGGAGTCAGTGTGTGAGTTTAGGGGGGACGGAGGTGAGGGACGGGGTGTCCTGGGGGAGGCGGGATAGGCCAGGACTCAGAGGGGTCACGGAGCAGGCTGAGGCGTGGCAGCGCTGGCCTGGAGAGCTGCGGGGACCTCGTGGGGACCTCGACAGAGCTGGCAGCCAGGGGGGCGGGCCTTGAGCACGTGTCTGAACGTCTGAGAACTGAGGGTGGACGCTGCCTCGGCCAAGGCCGGGGGAGCCCTGGGGGCACGCTGGCCGTGACCTGGCTCCTCACCTGCCTGCACTGTACGGGAGGAGAGAGGCCTCGTCACGTGGCTCCTACGTCCCTCCCGGCCGGCACTAGAGCCGCCTGGCTTTCGTCTGGGGTGCTGGGCGCCCGTGTTCTGTGGCAGCTCCGAAGGCCGGGACTCAACCACCTGCCGGTTTCGTCAGGGAGCGAGCTGGCCCAGGGGCGAGGGAAGAGCTGGCCCTAGGGACCTGTCTGGTTAGCTGGGGGCAGGGGCGGGGGTGGGGGCTGTAGCAGGTCATTCCGGACGGAGAGACTTCGTGGGCAGCGCGGTGTGCACTGGACTGGCGTGCGGGGTTGACAGCCGGTCCCGCACGTGGCACAGCACAGGCCGGGCTTAGCTGTCTGATCCCCGTGCGGCCTCCCGGGCTGTGGGAGAGACGCCTTGAGCTCCGGCGCCCGTGCCGCATCCGCCAGGAGGGTCCTGTGCCCCCACCTCACCGATTCCGAGTCTGAGAACTCCATTTCCAGGAGTGCAAAACAGTAACAGCAGAGCGTGTGCGTGTGTGTGTGCACGTATGTGATTGTGGTCCGGGTACGTCCAACCTCGCGGGTGGACAGCAGGCTGGAGGCCTGGGGGTGTGGACGCCGCAGCTGGCCTGAGGGCCGTCGGCTGGTGGCGTTCGCTCTCGTTCCCGGGGGCCGGTCTCTTCGCTCTCGTGACCTTCAACTGATTGGGCGAGGCCCACCCACGTCATGGGGGGCCACGTGCTTTCCTCCGAGTCCGCTGATCGGAAATGTCAGTCACTCCTACAGAATCCTTTCAACCAGCGGAGCTGCT